GTAGTACTTGATAACTTGCCCGTAAACATCAATGAAACCTTCATGGAGTTATCTTTAACCCATTCGCGACAATGACCAACCCTTTTGGTGGACACTAGTGAAGACCGTGGTCACCATGTTCAATCATTCTCACAATAACGCTACTTGGTCGTCGTGACCAGGCTAACGAATGATGCTAGTATGGCTCTGGTCGCGAACGGATTGAAGGTAAACGCTGCTTTCATTTGGTTTGTGGACACCTAATGGCGCTACAATTTTGAAGTATTCTTCGCTGCGGACGCTGAGGCGCCCCAAAGTGGGGGGTTGGCCTGCCGCCAACCTGCTCTCCACCAATTTCCTTCGATCCCTAGCTTCTGATATTGGTAGAGGACGGGTTGGCATCGCGTAGAGCCGCACCCCCCCCCCCCTGCGACCGCAGCGCACAAGACCGTCGTAGGAGCTCGAAACAACAAAGCAAAAACAAATAGCTGATTCTGTTTGTTTAAATTCATGATTTCCAGTGAACAAAAATAGAGGACTATGTTGATTGGGTGCGAAAACGAACGGAATTAATGGATGCCGAGGCAGGTCTCCCTGAGCACTGCGTTGCTTTGCTCAACATGTCTGTACAGCGTGGCTACGAGGTCCTTCATTTCAATGGAATAGGATGCTGAGAGTTCAAAGCAGTATAAACTCGACTTTCAGGAGCTAAAATCGCGTTTGGAAAGCTTCAAAAACTACAGTTTCTTTATTTCGACCTGTGCTCTTGTCGGTGAGACATTTCAGCGGTTTTGCGATGCTTCTCCTGCACACTACATCTCTTTCTTGCGTAAAGTAGGTTGTACTAAGTCGTGCTAACTTCTCTGGGCGTGGTTCGGCTTAGAGGGGCATTCCGCACTTCGCTAGTTTCTTTTGTTTATTCATGTTAGATAAGAAGTTTCACCAGAGTGAGACCTGTAAACTACTGTGAAGCTGCGAAATGGTGTTGGAAAGCCAATTAGCAAACGGAACATACAGGTCTTGACAAGGTGGCCTGCGTAAGCACAGGTGAGCACCGTGTGGTGCCCCCACCAAGCCGAACTGCTCCCCTTCTTTACCCTTATTTTATCCCTTTTTTGATGACTGAGTAAATGATCCTTGGTTATTTGCAGCTACCAATCATCGAGCTGGTAAGAAACGTCCCTCAGATACTGTCCTTGTTTGAGTGGAAGGCTCGTGACTCACCTACTGCTGAACAAGACTTGAAGAAGGCTGTGACAGATTTCCTTCTGGCTACTAGCGAGAGCAGTATCGATGTGTTGAAAGCAGTGCGAAGAGAACGGATTCAGTTAGTGGATAAAGATGTGGTGCGTCTGATCGTATTTGTGAAGCGGGTACGGCTCAAGAGATCCGAGGTGCGGCGACACGCGAATTTAGTTCAGCGCGCGCGGCATTTCGCAGCTCGACTCGATTAACTGCAGCACTTCTGCGTTCAATCAGTGAGGTCCTAATGCGGGTGCAGCACACAGGCAACGCCTCCTACAAAGCGGTTTTCGCTTTATCGCCGTGACTAGGATCTCCTGACCCCTTTGACAGGTGTACTCTAATATCCTAGAGATGGGAGGGGCGTGGCTGAGTGCTCTGCTTGAGCGTGGCGGCAGTTGCCCTTTGGTGGGATATCACCGTTTTGGGACAACTGTGATTTCTGCCCAAGGAAGGATGCCAGTTGTCACAATATGCCGCAAAAACGCATCGTGCTCCCTATTCAAGTGAGGTAAGACGCCACGCCCCTCCTATCCTTGGGATATGAAGTGTATATTCATAATAGATGTGACTGAATTTGAACTAAATTTGTGTTGTGATGATTTTTTTACTTGAAGGTAATACAATGTTTGTGTCACTCGGAGCTAACAGGAGACAATTTGCTGCGCGCAATGCTCTCAATTGGCGTCTGTCCAGAGTTTGGCCAGCGCACTGGGCACTTTTAATTCAAGAGGTGTCAAACCAACGTTCAAGCAACTTGTCAGGAGCCAGACTGAGCCACGGACGAACTGCGTACCAGTACCTGCAGCCCATTCCTTCCCTTCTCGTCTGTGGCAAGCTGCATCGTCCCTTTAGCTAGATTTATTTTGTAATCTTCAGTGATGCAGCCGCGCAGAAGGATTGCTGCATCTCGAATGGCCCGCTGTGGCCAAGCGGCCTCTGTGCCGGAATGGGAGGCTCTACGAGATGAGGTTCTTGACCTCACCGTGAGGTTAGTTCTAGGATGGCAGTTCGTGACGTGACGGAGAGAAGAACACATCGTTGGCACTGCGTGACGTCACTGAAACCGCCGAGGGCGGAAGGGATGGTAATGGTAGGCGCTGCCAGCGGTGTTACGGAACCCCTGCCTCGCACCTCCCCTCCGCCCCCTCCCCTTCCCAATGAGCTCCGAGTGTTTCAGTCGAGTTTTTCCCATCAAATCAACGTGTTTGTCTGGGAATTAGCTAATTTCATTACATTCTTATCGGCTCACTTCCAAGTTGAAGTGTTTGTTCTACCGTTCATTGGCAGATTAAGCGCTGACCACTGCAGACTCTTCGCCGCGCGGTTGCCGTGGCGTCATCCAGCGCACCAGGAGCGCCTTCACCCTTCGCAATCTGACCGGTTGAATCACGCGAGCGGCTAAATCGCGGGGTCGCATCGCGTAGTATGAACGCGCTCTAGTTTCTGTTGTCGGATGAATGTCACAGGGTCTAAGTTTGACCATAGAGCACATATTTTCATTTTAAAAACAGCCACAGCATCCCGATGTTTTCATTAATGCTAGTTTTTTTAGCATCTATAATGGCGTAATTGAACCTGACGAGGCTATCAGTACTGTAACCCGTGAAATGCTCTCGGACATACGGATCCCTCATGACAAGAACGTTCTGCAACTATTCCTTACGATTGATAAAAAGGCAAAAGGAGCGACTCATGGAAGGCTCAGCCTAGAGAAAAGCGTTGAGGTGGGTTTACCAGTCAATGGACAATTGTTGCTACCATTCAGCCTTTTTTACAGTATCAAAATTAAGCCTTTGCCGATAATTAACTTTTGTAGGTTCTGATAGGAAAGAGTGAAGAACTGATGCAGGAGGCGTCATCTCCAGATGATCCAGTGCTATGGCAATCTCGTAATTTAGCCGAAGCCGCTCGGGATATTGCACCAAAAGTGGCTACACAGCAACTCAAACTTCTCGACACAGTGGATTTGGCTCGCGAGCTTGGATCTACAGCAGTGCCAGTTGCTATCAAGTGAGAATGAATCTTGGCTTTTTTTGAATCTTACATTTTTCAGTTAAAAATTGAAAAATTTCTCGTTTATCTCCTTTATCTAGTAATGCTATTCAGATTTGCTGAACCGTATGCCTTCCTGGAAGAGATAGTCAAGTTGAATGGGAACTATAAGCAGGTCAGTTTCTCCAGTGATTCGATGGGAATAACCCTCACTCTAAATACGGCTAGTTGTTTTCTCTCTTTTTTTTGCAGATAAAGTCGATGTTCAGGGTAAAAAATGCGCGAAGCTTGCTGTTCTGCTTGGAGTGGAGACTCCAGTTGCCACGCGCTGTCGCTATGTGCCCTGTCTGCCCTTATCGCCCATGATGAGCGATATCTCGGAAAATACATCCATGAAGTCATCGCAAAGGTATTTCCGTCATAAATATCATGTTGGGTGCTAGTAGTCTTGGAGGCAGGCATTCAAAAGATGTTCTCGCAAAACAGAAAAACGTCACCCAAGAAGGAATTCTGTCTTCCAAGTTGTTTCACTTACCTCGGAACTCCTCTGACATCGGGCAAACTCCTCATCTCCATCGCTTTCGATCAGGGTGCGCTGGATGCTCTAGGCGAGGGGAGGGGTCATGTATGGCCGCTGGAGGGAGAGGGTTCTACGTGACATTGAGCGAATGTG